TTGCCTGGCTGCTGCTATATAGGATTCTGGTTTGATGGTGTTGTGCCTTTGTTTGGTTAGGTTCCTAATTGCTCTTGTTCTTACTGGTTTGTATTTGGTATACAGTTTATCAAAACATTTAGCCTGTTCTAATCTATATTGCTTCTATTGTATATGACACTCCTTTAGTGGACAGTTTGCTACTAGATATTCTGCATTACTGCATAGATTGTATAGCTTGGTTTCAATATGTTTTTATTTCATTATGGTTTCTCCTAAGTTAAAGTTTTCTCTTGTGATGGCTTCTCTAGTTTTCTCATTCTTAAAGCTAATTATTGCAAATCTTTTCCTTTTATATGAAAGGTATCTTGGAATATAGCATGTTTTAACCTTGATTTGTCCACATATATATCTAAGGTCAAAAGTTGTAGTATTCAGTAGAAGGTTAGTGAGTTTAATTACAATGGTCTCTCTTTCATTCCTTTGTCCAATATCCTATTAAGCATCGAAAACTTTGACTAAGCCAGCTCTGAGTGGGACACTCCATTTGTTGATAACTATGTTTTTGTTTTCTTTATCTACATAGATTATTGTAGCAATCTGCCACATTTGTTGAGTTGTTATTATGATGTTGATGATCTTATTATATTTGACAAAGGCTTGTCATACTTCAATGAATTTAACTTTTTAGAGTATGTTTCATACAACAATAATGTTTTCCTTTTTTTGTGTCAAGAATATAGTTGTTATGTATTAAAATGCATATTAATTGTATCTGGTAAGATTACATTGCATATCTCGTCTGCTGCTTGTTTGTCCCCAAAAATGGCTATGATATGTTCATTCTCATCTTTTTCTTTACTAAAAATTGACATGAGGCCCATAAGAGAGTCTAGGCTCTTAGTAAGAAAGGTGACTTTTTGACTTGTTGTTCTACCAGGGATTGCATTTGGTTTGATTCTTGTCTTGGCTCTTTCTCTTATGAATCTGGTTCTTATATTAAATGATGATCTGGGCCTGGGCCTGTCAAAAGTGTTGGTTTTTGCTTTTCCATTTTTTCCTTCAATTTATCATTTCTCTTCAAAATTTCAGTCTGTTTGGATAGTGTTTTTTTCAAGTTATTCCTCTATTTCCATTTCTATGTCTGAGTTGATAGTTCATGCTTTGGTTCCATTTTCTCTAGGTTGTGTTACTAGGCTTTCTTTTGAGTTTTCTGTAGTGAACGTGCTTTCTCTGCTGATTGATATTATCAAGATTTCTTCTTCAACTTGTTTGTTCCAAGTGGAGTTGTCAGTTATGGCTCTTCTATGTTCAGTGTTGCTTGGATCTTTAGTAATCGATTGTTGTTTGTTATTGGAATTGGTCATGTATTTTTCTGGTTTATTTTCTTCTTGCAAAACTGTTTCTCCTTTATTTTTGTTGGTTTTCTTTCCAGTGTCCCGATTCGATTCTTTGCATGTATTTCTTGTGTTACCTTTTACCAAAGTATTTTCATTGTAATTGGGTTACCCCATACTGTATTGTTTTTTGGATTCTCTTTGAAAACTCTTCTCTTCCATTCACTTTCTTTTTTTTTTCCAAAATTATCAAAAAAGGAAATTTTTAAGAAAAAAAGGATCTGTGAGAAAAAAAATTTTTTGAAGACCTCTTTTCAATAAAAAATATCCAATTGAAATATTTTTTTTTAATCATCTGAGAAACTTATTTATTCTTGATTTTGATTTCCTTCTGTGTATTATCTAAGAAAACTTATTACCTAGTGGAAATCTTTACTTTCAAGACATACTTGATTCCAACCTTTTTTAAGCAATAATTTTTTATTTATCTGCAGTTTAGAGGTAACTTATGATAAACCCAGGTTCTTATGTGATCTGGTAAAAATTGAATTATGTTGTTTCAATATTATACCTTTCAACAGTTACATTTAGTTAAAGTAATTTTACTAATATACATCTTCTATTATCTAAAAGGCCAGATTTCTCAATAATCATTTTGCTTTGTAATAGTTAAAGGGTCTAGAAATAATATGGATCCTTGTCGATTGTAATATCCTTCAATAACTTTAAAGAAATGTATTCTCAACTATAACAAAAAGATTGAAGCTTAGCATAAACTAAAGACTATTCAATCTTATTGTCTGACTGAAATAAAAAAAAAACCTTGGTTTTGAACTTTGCCTGACTGAAATAATTAAAGAGAAAAACTCCAGTTTCAATAAATAGTAGCTTTTTCACCACCTGGAAACTTGTTGCTTATATCTTAATGATCTTATGGAACTTGATCTATAGATTAACTCAATTGGAAGAGTAAAATAGATACATGATACCAATCAACTTTTTTAATTAATAATAATGTTATCAGAATACATAAGGTAACTAGTAGGGACTAGTTTATATTCAGCTACTAATTTGTTTTGTATTTACAATCATATTTTGCAATAGATTGTATCACCTAAAATTCAGGATCAAACTAAGATAGGTAAAATTTTTCAGAAAATCAAAAAAATTTCTTGAGACTATAAGAAAAAAAAAACAATAGACAAATACTTAAAAATATAATCTAATATTTGTCACCTTCGACTACACAAAATCTTTATAAACATGCTTCAATATGAAAGGCTTTGAGTATTATACTATTAGTTCTTCTTTCTTATAGAACTTTCTTGCCATAGGGACTCATCTTTACCCATAGGTCTATTAATATAATAGTTAATAAATAATTGATAAATTATAAAAAATATAAAAAGTCCATTAAGCTAGTTTAGGCTAAACAAAACTAAGCCTAAACTAGGTATTCTAGGTCAGATTTAGGGGATAATATTATACTTTCCTAGTAGTTTGACATAATGCCTCTAAGTTAATCAAGATTATTGCCAACAATTTGTTACTGTTGATTATCCTGAAAAATAATTAATTGCTAAAGTTGGTACTGGGGAAAAGAGAAGAGGGTGAATATAATTCAAAGCTTTCTAAAAGATTTTTGATCCAATTCACAGTTTGCTCTCGAAAGAGATCTGTCTGATTGGGATATTCTCTAAGCTTCATAATGTTTGAGGAACTTAATCATTTCTGAAAGTGACTTCAAAAAGTATGTTTAAGAAACTTATCCTTCTGCTGATGTATGGATTCACTTATAACTAATAAAACCAGCACTATATTATAAAAGAGTTTGCCTAACTGGAATAAAAAAATCTTTTCAAAAACTTTATCTGACCAAGATAGAAGCTTGGTGACTTCAGCTTTTGTCCAAGAAAGCCTTTTTACTATTTGAAGAATTTAATAAGAGATGGGAGTTGAATCTTCTATTTCTATCTATTGTTTGCCTTTTAGTATTATAATTGTTTTCTGGAGATTAAACATACACAATTAGAGGGAACACTTTTTCTAGAACTTTTTTTTCTATATCACCAATGATATATCAAGACATGTGAGTGTGACCAATAAGAGCTTGTTTATATTCCAAAAACTGATATATTTCATGTCAACCAATCATCTTTGGTGAGGATTTGTGTTATCAAAAATTCAGAATTAAACTGAGATAAGCAAAATTCTTCAGAAAACCATAAATATGAAAGCTCTAAGAGGATTAAGACAGTCAAAAAGGGAGAAAATAAGCCTTTTTACTATAAAAAATCTTGATAAGCCTCTCACTTCAAAGATTAGAAAGATCTTCGGATATTTTACAGTCAGTTCTTTTTTCTTTAGAAACTTTTTTGCCATTGGTATCAAAGGTATTACTTGATTTTTCTTGATTATTAAAAGTCAAGTTTTTGAGTAAAGAGATTTGTAGATAATAGAGGAAGGGTAGAAGTAACTCTTGAAGTTATACTTCAAGTTGTTTTAAGAAAAGTATTAAGACTTTATTAACAAGAAAGTGTAAAAACTTCTTGTGAACATCTTTTTTGTGTATGGTTAAAGGAATAGTGGAAAGAGTTTTATAAATATACCATTATTGTAATATTTGTTATTAAATTATAAAATTATCTATTTATTTATATCATTAATTTGATGAATTGCTTATTTTTATCAAATATTATATAAGCAATAGTATTCTGAATAAATTTTTTAACTAGTAATTGTAAAGTATTTAATGATTTATTTTATTTTTATAATCAATTATTATTTTTATTTTAGCTTATACTTGAGTGTTTTAATAATATAATTTACAGTATATTAATAATAATTAATTAATATAAAGTATATTGATTTTGAAATAAATAAGTTTTTTTTTTAAAAAAAAATAATAATTATAATATAGAAGAATGAATAATAGATTAAGTAAATTATTAAATTTTAATTCTTGATCAAGTTTCTCAAATAATAAAAATTTATTTTATGTTGAAGTTTTTTACTTTTTATTTTAATCAGTAAACTCTTTTAATATGTTTCTAATATTGCAAGTATTTATATAATTATTTTACAATTATATAAATTATAATTATTTATTTATACAGTTTATTATAAGCATGATAAAGAATTTTTTCTATACGAATAAATTTCTTTTCCTTTTTTTCTTTAATGTATTCTTTATACAGTTGCAATTCCAGCCTGAAACGATAAGTGACAATATAATTATTCTTTAATATATTGTATTTTCCATCGATTTATATTTATGTAGTCGAATCATAAGTAAAAATATATATACTGCATATAAAATCTATTAAATTTTAAAATGAAATTTTATTAAAAAAAAATTTTTTTTTTTCGAAATTTTTTTTGAATTTGCTTTCTTTTTTTTTTTGACGAGCTTGATGAAAGAATGATAACATAACATTAATTAGGATACATGAAAGATATGAAAAGTACAATATAGACAAATATAGTATATGTGATTCTAGTGAGGAAAATATTCAGAATAATGAGTGTATAAAACTGTACACAAAAAGTAAAAGTGTATGGCGCGCATATTTTATAAACGTTTTAAATATACTCCTAAACCATAATTCTTTTACCATGAATGTTGAATGCAAGAAGTAAATGCGAGTTTAGAATTTTAATTGATTGTATGTTCCACTCGCTTCTTTAGCTCTCTTGCAAATCCCTAGCTTTATCCTTAGCTTGAACCAGTAAAATAGGTTTCATGTATGGATCCTCTTTCTTTGCGGCTTCGGCATTATTCTTCAAAGTAGCAGTTGCCACCGCGACAAGACTCCATTTAAAGAAACCACTAATCCTCTTAGATGAAGTGGCGGTGTCAGTGGCTCCGGTAGGAACAACGTTGGTAGTAGATGATCGCTTGGGCAAATTTACTTGTTGAGGGCTTTCTTGCGCTAACACATTATCCGCCGAGTTACTACCCTTTCGTGGTCTGTTCAAAAGTGGCATTCTCCTTGTCACATCGTTCTTGTCTAAAGATTCAAACGTGGTGAGCGATGGAGACGTGCATTTTTGTGAATATTCTTCGGGTTCATCGTAATGTTTTGTTTCCTCCTCTTCTTTCAATGTAGTGAACGAAGTTTTGGCATAGGGAGGCGATCGCGGGAATTTAAAGTCGGTCTTTAGAGAGTTTGGACGTTCAGGTTTTGCGGGATTCGTGGGAGACATTGGCTTAGAAGATTTTTCCTGTGAACTTGAAGACCAATGCGTAGCCAGCGTTTCCTCAAAACCATCCACTTCCATTATACGGTTTAACATTTTTTGAATATATTTAGCCATCGATTCGTTATCACTCTTGAGTGTTTTCACCTCATCTTGAAGTTCTTGTTTGAGAGGAAAAAATTAAGTAAAAAATAATAATAATAATGATCGAGAGTCTAGTTCATTTAAAAAAAAATTAAAAACCTACTCTCGATTAAAGTATGATCACTTTCTTTAAGTACAGCTTCGCCAAGTGTTGTCTCATCAACAGATCCCGAATTATTTTCACTCTTTCTTATTTCTTCGCAATATTTCACTTCTAATTGTTCATACTAGTGAATATAACAATATTTTAGCGTCGGTCGAATATAAGATTTCTCTTCAATTATCGAATACAATTATTGACATACCTCAGCATCTTTTTTAGCCAATTTCTCCTGATAATTCCCATTCTCGACCGATAAAGACCTATTAACAGTCTTTAATTGTTCTGAGTCCTGCTCCAACTGTTTTATCCTTCTCACATGGGTCTTGTTCAACTCTACTGATTCTCTGTAGTCCTTTTTTACCCTTTCCAATTCAGCCAAAGTATCTCCCAACTTTTTCTCGAGATCTTTAATCTGCCTTTGTGTGACCATCAATTCCCGTTGCGATGTTTCTGTCGACGAATAAGTAGATGTAAAGTCGGAAATGGATGACGCGGATGATGATGATGAGAATCGCTTGGAATAAATCTCTTGGGTGGGGGATGAAGAGAGTCGCTTAGAAAAAATCTCCTGAGTGGGAGAGAATCCAGCCGGTGGAATCTTTTGAAGGTAACTCATAGTTGGCGAATCTTTTGGGACAGGGAAGAAGAATTTTGGGTAAGTATGAAGCAATTGAAAAAGAGGACAGGAACGACAAATATAAAATAATGACAAGATGTCGCAAATATATAGTAACAATATCATGGGGAAAATATGAGACTTTACCCAAACTACTAGATTCGAATTGGTCACTCATTTTTCTTTCTTGTTACGATAAGTTGATTGTTCCTTGGTGTGGTTATTTTGACGATAATTAACGAACTGCAACTCACTGGCGGAATATAGTGTATATATATATATATATAGTATATATATATATATATCCTTTTCAGAGATTCTACAAGAAGTTCTACCGAAAGGAGTTTTTTTTTTTTTTTTTTTTTTTTAGAAAATGATGACACTTTTATATAATTAAATGGATTTTGGATTGTTTAGGAAACTTGATAAAGAATGTGTGATCAAGTCTATATATAATTTTCGTTAATAATAAGCCATTCAAAAAGTGCTGCGACGCCAACAATCACCTAATAAGTTTTAAAAAGAACAAAGCCAAAACTAAATATTTTCCTTGGTAGATAGTAATAATTGACGACAATTATTCAAAATTGTCTTATGAAACCATATAACAGTAAGGGAACACGTACTGAATGCTCAAGTCAGTGCTCTTATATGTTTAATGTTGTGTATATTAATATTTGTCTGTTGTTACTGTATTTGTGTATTTCTTCTGATACACTTTATAAAGGGGCAAGAAACCAGAGGGTTGGTAGAATAATACTTACAACGTACAGAGGGAACACAGAATTTGAGGTCACTGTAAGAGAATTTTTGTTACACAAATTGATATGACTCACGAGACTTACTATGAAGACTTTTTTTTATTATACAAATAAGGAGTCCCTTTCTGAATATCAAAACCAGGGATGTATTAGCCAAATTTTAATCGTTGTAAATACAGTATGTAACGTTTGAGCTGTAAAAAAGGGTATTCTAATCGATCCATTTATTTAAGGTTGAATGATCACTCCACTTTAAAATAGCATGTAAAAAAAAAAAAAAAAATCATCGACAAACCCTTTTGAAGATTTATTCAATTATTCGTCTCTTGTGAAAAGAGGTACGTATTTTAATAGAAGCAATTAAATTTCTACAAATTAATATTGCGTAAACATCGTTAGGTATCCAACGTTTATCCAGTGCATACGAACTCCATCAATCAACAAGAAGAACAATACAATAATGGTGACCGAATATAAATAATAATCCATTCATCACACGTGGTTTTAATTAGTGTTTGTGATTAAGGAGATAACGATAAGGACCATGATCAAATAAAAAAATGCAAACGATTATTTCATCTTTACGATTACGTTCTACGTACATGTGTACGCGTCATGCAAATATGCAATCTATTTTCCATGTCACTTCCACTAATAGTATAGCTAGGGTGTCCCTAATTTCACGAAAAAGTTTGATCACGTGATTGATCGCAGCAACATGTTGTGTATTATTAGAAGCGCACTAATATATCGATCTTTGTGTATAATCCCTGTTGCTCAATTTCCGGGTGCGGAACGTAAATATTGATGATTATGGAAATGTTCGTTGTTTTCACGAATGAACCATACGTGTATGATCAGCATGCTGTTCTGTCCATTTTACTTCCGTTTTGCAATAATAGTAAAAAGAAAGAAAAGGATTCTTTATTAAAATGGTTAAATTTTTAGAACTCGAATGAAAGCAGGAAGATTTTACATATATTGACATAACCGTAGACCGAGTATAAATAGGTTTTTCCCAAGATTGTAACCATAAATTGTCAGGTATCTACTTTCTCTACGAGATGTATTGTCAATTGCTAAATAGATTATTGTATAATTTAAGATCCAAAATCAGATCGTTTTATAGAAAAATTTAAAGTATTGTTTTTTTTTTAACTGCACTGCATTAAGTCTCAACTAATATTAGTTTCATTTTGATTAACCGTTGCTTACTTTTAGATTAATTAAATTTTTTTTTTTTTTTTTTTTTTTGAAATTATATATTATAAAATACAATTATTTTTTAATTTTATACATTTTAACTAGTTAAAATATAGTGAAATCTACGGGCTTATTTTAGGAAAATTGGAACTAAAAGCTTTAAATCAACTAATTTATTAAATTTTAATTTAAATATTTAAGTATATATTATTACAAAATTATTAATCATTTTCTAATTTAATTTTAATTATCTATATTATATTAATTTTTAATAATAATATTTACTATATTTAAAAATATTCTAAAGATACAAAAAAGAATCTTTTTTTTATTATTTAAAAATTGTAATACTATTAAAAAAATTATATAATAATATAATATATACAGTACTATGATTCTAAAGCTTACTCACAGATTTTTTAATCCTATACAAAACGATCTGGAGACAAACTTTTTCCGCTGATCCTCTGACTACATACAAAAAAGACGTTCACAAGAGGTTTTATACTTCTAGGCTAACAAAGTCTTACCACTTTCCTTAAACCAACTTGAGAACAAGGTTCCCAAGAGTCGCCCCATCACCCCATTACCTCTTTTTTATATCTTGCTACAAAAAACTTGTCTTCTAGTGGTCAGAAAGGCAACTCTACCCTTCTTACCAATAGCAAGAAAGTTCTGAAAGGAAGTAGACCTGATTTCTCTATCTTCTTCTCATCTACCTCAGAAACATCACAGAGTCCAGTTTGTGATGAGAGACTCTTTAGAAGACAACCCCACCATTCTCTTATCATTGTGTTGATTCTAATAGTGCTCTTTCACAGTTTTCTCTGGGGGATTTTGCCTACCTCAGTTTGACCCTGAATTTTGAGTAGTACAAAGTTTCTGGTATTGTGATTGGATAATGGAAACATGTCAGCGATCCAAGATGTAAACAAGCTCCTATTGGTCACTCCACGTGTTTGAATGCATTTCCTCAGTTCCCATAAGAACCTGGGGTCCATCATAAGTTACATGCCAGTCGTACGAGTGGATACAGGATACAGTATCCAACACATTCCAGGAAACAGAAAAGAGTCCATCCGACTATGGAAAAGGTCACAAGACACTTCAATCGTTTTTGGAATTGAAGTCACCTACCCTTGGCAGTTAAGTAGGTTCCCTTCACTCTCACAGATAGGTAAAGATCTGTTCTTTTTCTTATAAAAACAAACAAGGTGGACAGGAAGTTTTTCCCAACCGGTGGGTTTTTTACTCCTGATCCATGGTTTGTTGAAGGGCCTGAAACCAAAGTTACATCAAGGCTCTTGACATAACCTCACCCTTAAGAAAGGCTTTAAAGCTACCAGTGATATCCACCATTCTTACTTGTAGTGAAAGTACTAGTTGAAAATATTTGCCAGAATGGAAGAATCCCTTCTAGGCTTAATCTACCTTTGGAAGTTTTGTGTCTTCTTAAATAAGCAGCAAATGCTTGAAGATAATATTACCTATAGGACTGGATTCGTCAACCCCACCAAAGGTTTTAAGATATCTCTTTGACCATAAATCCCACTAGGTCTTTGGATGAGTAATTCCCTCCCCACTTCTTTGCACCTCTCTCCCTTCTGAAGATGAAGAGACACGATATTCCGGTGGATAATTCGCAAGGCATTGGATTGATCAATGGTGTTCTCTGGTAAATGGTCGGTAGGTTTAGAAAATTTAGGTCAATTATCCGATAGTCCACATAGTTTTAGAAATTTTTTTCAGCACTAGTTAGACTTTAGACTAGTCCTTTTTTTCTTCTTAAGAGGTGGCTAGGCCACAAGGTGAAGTCTCCATAAAAGAGCTCTTCTATTGTAATACTTTATTTGTATAAACACTTCTTACATATGGCCCTAGAGGAACTTTGTTTTCTCTATCTTATATAAAGATCTCTCAATAAAGTTTGGCTTAACCAGTGTTTAAAAAAAAAAAAAAAAAAAAAATGATTCTAAAGCTTAAAGGTCAAGTAAAACAAATACAGTAGAATGGATCGATATTATCAGAAAAGCCATTATTCACAAAATGTGTATAAATAGCAAAAAAAATTACTGGGGATGAAAAGACAGTCAAAATAGCAATAAAGATTATCACAATATGGTTTTGGCAAGAAAAAAAAGAATTCTAAAAGTTAAGATTTGAACTGATGATAAAATAGAAAAATTTTAGAAAATTCTCAAAAAGATGAAAAGGAAATAAATAAGAAATCTCAAGAAAAAATTCAATAAGAAAGCATTACAAAGAAGTAAAAATTCTTTGAATACTTATAGATCTTTTTATATAAATTTAATTAACTATAATATGAAAAACATCTTGTAAAACAGATACTCTTCAACTCACTTTTTTCTATAAATATCAGTGTTAGTGAAGTTATGATGTGCCAATATTTATTTTTGAATAAACTATAACAAGTTACAGGGTTTGTTCAAATACTGAGTCATTATTTTTTTCTTTATTATAAATATATTTTCTTATAATTTAATTTATGTATATAAAAAGATATTAATGATTAAATAAAAATTATATAGTATAACTTTGCCAACTAGAAAAAAAATATTGTATATATAATACAATATATATTTTTATTAATTCATAATTATATCATTATAACTTGTTTTATTAAAAACTATAAAAAATTATAATATTATATAAACTTTTATATAACAGTCAACTTATTATTATAATTATTAATTAAAAACTATATTATTTAAAAAATATTAATAGTTATTGAACTAAATTAAACTAAACAAATCAAAATTTAAATTATATACTATAATTCAAATTTAAAAAACAATATTTTATTTTTTTTAATAATTTAATATCAAACTTTCTATGTGTTAAAATTATTATTAACAATTTATTAATATAGATTATTTTTTTTAAAAAAAAACTAAATTATTAAATTAATAAACTAAACAAAAAAAAATTAATTTAAAATTTTTTAAAAAATTTTTATTTAAATAAATATTCTTTTTCAAATAACATTTATTCAATTAAGATATTTTTTTAGCTTCA